AAACGGTTGAAACAAACATAAATTAAAATTGAACGGCCAATCTGAAAATAACAAAAAAAAGGGGGGGTTTCATTTAAAAAACCAGAGTTGGTAACTACCACACGTTTATGATGCACCCTGTATATTGGAAAGTAATTTTAGAATGTGGACCTTTTAAACGTGAAAAACTTTCGTTGGACGAATTTTCTTGTAAACTTTATATTTACTGAGATATCGCACTTTGACGCACTAATGAGCAACCCTGTATATGCAAAATATGTTATTCACAGCAAATTTTTAGATTAATTGCTAGTCATTATTTTTTGAGAGAATCGTGGGTTTAGTGTTTGTGCTTTTCGCTTATTTTAAACAATTATTTAATTGCAAAATGGATAAATTTCATTGCATGCAATGTTGTTACAAAGTAGGCAACGGAGCCCTGAGTTTAAATTAACGTTTTTTCCAATAAATAATAAAATGGATTTGCTGGATGTGGTGGTCAAAAAGACCCCTGCCCGGACTAAAAGTAATCAAGTTCCACATCAAATAATATGTTTATTATGACTCATAAAATGTGTAATACATTGAACTTTACTTGAAGAAGAAGGTTGAAACTATGTCAAAGACGTTAGCGCATTTGATAAAGTTTGCTGCTTTCACATCAGTCTCATAGTTTAGCACTAAACTAGAAACATTCATTGATGTACTCTAACATTTTACTAAGAAAACATTGAACATTTTTTTAGACGCTGATGTACCTTCGTTTCTTCGCCCACATTCTTGTCGGTTTTCTCATCGGCGCCTTGTACTGGCAGATCGGAAATGACGGCAACAAAGTGCTCTCTAATCTCGGATTTCTATTCTTCAATATGCTGTTCTTGATGTACACTTCCATGACTATAACAATCCTGTCTTTCCCCTTGGAGATGCCTGTACTGCTGAAAGAACATTTTAATCGCTGGTACTCGTTGCGCTCATACTACTTGGCAATTACAGTTTCAGATATGCCATTCCAGGTAAGAACTTGAATGCATTTTTATGAAGTCCTAGACAATGTTTATCCTTTACAGACAATCTTTTGCATCGTATACGTGGCAATCGTGTACTTAATGACAGCGCAGCCGTTGGAGATCTTCAGATTCGGAATGTTCTTAAGCGCCTGCCTGTTGGTCTCGTTTGTAGCACAGAGCGTTGGGTTAGTGGTGGGAGCAGCTATGAATGTTCAGGTGAATATATTTCACCATTTGGGGGCGCAATAATCAATTAATCGTGTTTTTGTTAATTGCAGAACGGTGTTTTCCTAGCTCCAGTGATGTCAGTACCATTTTTACTTTTTTCGGGTTTCTTCGTCTCGTTCGATGCAATTCCGATTTATCTGCGTTGGATCACTTACTTGTCCTACATCAGATACGGTTTCGAGGGAACAGCGCTCGCGACTTACGGCTTTGACAGGGCTAAATTGCAGTGCTTCGTTAGCTATTGTCACTTCAAATCTCCCCAAATCACCCTTGAGGAGCTGGACATGATCAACTCGAGCTATTTGGTAGACGCAGTTGCATTAGTGGCTATCTTCTTTGTTTTAAGAATTGCCGCGTACTTGTTTCTGAAATGGAAGCTTAAAACGAATCGTTAATAAAACACAGAAACGGGTTGGAAACTTTTGAAAATAGTACTGCTACCCATTCCACCCATTGATTATAAGAAAATGGTTTATTTTAAATTGCCAATGCCAAAGCTTTACAGTACATTTCGACCACTTTTTGCCTCTTCCTTTGTTAAAAACCTTATCACAATAATTTAATCATGGACACGAAATTTATGATGGCCTGTGCAATCCACATGGCGTTTACCTATATTATATGTATATAATTAACAGGAGCACCAATTATAAATAATATTTTTGTGAATCATATGTATAATCACAACTTTTTGATACTATGTAGAATGATATATTTAGTGATAGTAGAAATAGGGGCTGTGAAATGTAATTAAAAATACCGCTTGCCAGTAAATGTTGCCCGGATCTTGGTAAAGTCTTCATTATCTTATTGTTTAAAGAGTAATCCGATGCGCAGTTCGGCTGAGCTGGTCTGGCCGTTCAAATACGCTGAACTAAAATTGTCGTTGTCATATTTTGGAAGCATTTATATTATATATAAACTAAAACTATTTTTTTATACACCCGACATCACACATCAAACAAATTATTGCAGAGATGTTTTTTGATGTGTCATTATTAGTTATAATATAGCATTATATATGTTAAACCTGGCTTTGCCTCTCGAATGTTTGTTTTTCAACATCTTTTGAAACTGTTTTATTGTTATATTAAACTAATAGTAATATTTTTATGCAATTGTACTGTAATACGGTGATTATTTAATTCTTATGGGTTTAAAATATAAAAAGTGTTTACTGTTTCATGTGAGTTTGATTTTTTGCATGGGAAATCGACAAACGAATCACCGCATTGGGAGTCAGATCATATTTTTAAGTTCAGTTTGTTGCTAAATATTGGGAATAATTTAGGAAGTGGAACAAAATATTGCTACCTATTTACTCTTAAATATAAAGCGTTTATTAATAAAATATAATAAAGTATCTATCCTTAGTGCTGAAATGAGTATTAAATTTATCACTGGTTACGTACACCGGAAATCGATAAGAAAGTCTTCAAGCTTTTCAGCTTGACCACAGGCACAAACGTGTAAACCAAACAAATACTTTCGGCGAATGTTTCCACAATATCTACTAGAGATGCGATGTGTGCAATTTTAAGTACCGAAAAGAAAATTTTAAGATTGTAGACGCACCTGTCGACATTCTCGTGCCCTTGTTTCAATTTTTCTATGCAATACGACAGAGTTTCGAGAAAAATTTTGTTAGTTAACACCTCGCCATCGTCAGTACCGTCCAACCGACATACTATGGCTGCTACGTTGTTTTCATAGTTCACTCTTCTGTATAACGATATTGAGTATTGATCGATGCATTTGCCTCTTTCTTCATCTAAACAGAGAAGCATGTCTTAAATAGAACTTCTTAAGGTTTGAGTGTAAAACTTACATTCAAATTGATTATTATGCTTGTGAGCCCAGACGTGCCATTCCACAAGGGCTCCTCTGGGCAATCCTGTCACCACAACATACTGAACGATGGCATTGTTCGTTTTAGCTTCCCACTGTTTCCTAGCTGGTTCAATGTATGAACTGTGAGTGACGTAACAAACACCCTAACAATAAAGAAAGAAATTATGATTCAATTCAAACACCTTGAAAACTTACAATGTACTCAAACGAGAAGTTACTAAATATTATTGTTTAATATAAAGCAGGAATAGAGACTACGAACTACTGGTAATGTGCGACCCGTAGCATTTTTATTATTCTTATTTTTGTTTGCTCTGTGAGTTGATTTCTTTTAACTTAGGAGGGAAGAGACAACAAACCGAGTAAGATAAACCATTGCAGGGAAGCACTGCCCTAAAATAATATATGATATCTCTCTTGTGAGGTAAACTTTTTGCGCATCCATCGTACCCAATTTCGAGCAAAATTAGGACTTTTCTTTTTAGCCTCAAACTTCAATTTTTGTTAACATTGAAAACAAACGTTTGCCAGTGAAGTTCAACTGTGTCTGTGACACGACATATACCGGGTGTTTTGTAATGAGAGTCCGATATTTCCCAAGGCGATTCCTCAGAAATTTTTGTTGAGTAGTAATCAGCCTTTCCAACGCTACCACATGCAGACAAACAAGAATTATTTTGTTAGCCTATTCTAAGGGTTGCCAGTATGTTGGCACTTGTAACCTTAACGATGGTCAGTGTGTGTTTAAGTAAAATCACGTGATTTTTAATAAATTAAGTTAGCAGTCTATTTCTAAGATTAATGTAAACTGTTTGTAATGTAATTGAAACTTTTTTTAAATCATTTTTGGAATAATATCGATATTTGGGACCTTAGTAGCATGATAAACTTGAATTTGTTCTTTTTTTTGTTTTAAAATTATTTAAGTTTATCATTTTTTTTTAATACTTACAATGATAATGAATACTACTTAACTGTAAGATAATTTAATTTAAATTTACATAATTTAAAAAAGTCACTTGACAAAATCTGCGCCCTCTAAGGAAAAAAGACATGTAGATAGAACTCCACATGGAAGAGCAAAACTACCATGAAATTTAAATTTCCCATGCTACTAAACTGGAAAACATCAAATTTCGTCCGTATATCGAGAGTATATAAAAAATTACTGATAAATAACTAAAATTCAAGTAAATCGTTTAACAGGAAGACGTGTTTAAGAAAATGCCCTGAAAATATCGTAGACTTATTAAAAAACACTCGGTCACGCAAGACATTGAAATATAGACATTTATATGATTGCTTTGGGAAATAATTTCAAACAATAAAATTACTTTTTCTCTACTTGCCTTTTAGTTTCACAAATGAAAGTCAAGACACTTTTAATGATTTAAGCATAAAGCGGCAAGTATCTTCGTAATGTTAATTTAAAAAAAACCGTTGGCCGCTGCGAATTAAAGAAATCAATTCAAACAGTTTGTTCACACAAAACAGTCTTGAACAATGAGTTTTCAGAAGATCTAAACTGAATGGTCTTTTCACCGGGCTGGTAAATTTAGAAAGTGAAATATACAAGAGTTTCATATCCAATTTACAAGGCGAGCAGTGAAAAAGTAAACTGGAACTAAACCAAAGACAAAATTTACAACACTTCCGCATTAACCCATGCAGGTCACTTAATATAAATATTTATAGAATAGAATAGAGAAAGATAGCATAGAAATATAATAGATTAAATAGGACTAAAACGAATTAAATCCAACGGATTTTTGCATTCAAAATAGTATACGAGCCCAAACAACTATGTATACATTCGCACGATGTTCAATGAGAAAATAAACCATTTATGTTGGGAAATGAGTAAATAAGATCTATTTGTCTCTCCTGCCAACCACATAAGTTAGTCTAGAAGCCAATGTAACAATTAGTTTTTTTTATTTTAAGTTGTATTTGTTTCTAGTAACTAAGGTAATTGAAAAAAAAAAAACAAAACAAGACGTGTGTAGAAATAACGTTCTGGGCAATATACATTTTAATTTTGCCGACAATCGGGTTTTAATTCGTCGGTTGAGTGCATTCATATACTTAAATCGGTGTTGGGAGTGCCATCTCAGATAGGGACGCGCACGAAGAAGAAAATAATACAAAAATACAGTCCACTTAAACATTCATCGACAATTTATATTTACTTTTAATATACTTTTTTGTTTCTTCTACTGAACAATGAATTCATTATCCCTTTACGCAGCATAAAGGCTGACAATGGAAAATATTTTTTTATCTGCTTTTTCTCTGTAGCAAATTATAAAAAATGTAACAAACTTGTACTACAAAATATAAACAAATTGATAAATAAATATTCGGACGCACTTTAATACAACTACGATAAGACTTTGAAATTATGATCTCCAAACCACTTTTTGGTCGGTTTAGCTCTGCGCAAAACCCATCCTGTTGAAATATGCAGTTTTCAATTCCAAAATATTGTTCCATAGTTGGAATTAAACTTCTTGTTAACATTTGTTGATAGTGTTCTGCATTTAGTTCCATCAACAAACTCATATTTGCCAAAGCGTTTACCACTCATAGATCCTACTAATAATATACTCTCTTGGAGAAATTTGACTGTACGATTTAGACAGTATTTATGAAAGGCCTCTAATTTTGCTACGTAAATAACGTTACTCCGCATTTCCGTTGTCCAAGATATTTTAGATTTAGCCCAATTCAAACGTCTTTGCTTTTGGATAGCTCTAAATAGTGGCTTTTCCTTTGCGTATAAACAAAGCAGATGAAATAATAATATTATTTTATACTGAACCCCATAAAATTATCACCTTCTTTATCAAAACTGTAATCAGATTTATGCAGCCATAATCTACTGCATTCGCATCTATAGCATTTTTGCGTGACAAAAATACTAGTAGCAAACCAATTGTGCGATGATATAAAAGATAATGAGCAGATGAATAGGTAAGTGTTTTCTACTCGCATTTCCGGTCCATATGTTAGTTCTTAACAATTTATTTCAAAATAAACGCAATTTTTGTCTTTTCGTTTATAACTTTGAAACTAATGAAGCAATCGTAATGCCCCAACGGGATGGTTTGTAGAGAAGAAAAATATCTACAAAATGAGAGGTCGAACGCCTCAATTGGACAATTAGTTTCTGATAAATTTAGGAAAAACCGGGCAATTAGGCGTTATTTCGAAAATTCATAGCTCCGTCATTTTTTGAGATAGAGCCCTAAAATTTTGAGCGAAAGTAGGGATTATAATGTCCTTTATACGTGCCTATGGCGGGTGCTGTTGAATTATTGGTTTTCTCAAAATTGCGATTTAAATTTTGCATTTCGTTTGTTTCCGGCGGGCCTATATGCGTTACCGTGAGACCGATTATAAATAAAAAAAAAATTGAAAGAGAGTAGTCCGTGTCAATTATTATATTATATATATATTATAAAATTTTAGCGCTCCAGCTCAAAAAATTACGGAGTTATGAATTTTCAAAAAACTCCCAATTTTCCTGTTTTCCTTGAATTTCGCAGAAAATAATTATTCGATTGAGGCTGTTGTTCAGGGCACCAGTTTCCGCATGAGTTGAGGGTCGAGAGGGATCGGGAGCGGTCGGCGAGGTCCGTTCGATGCGAACGGTCGATTTCTCGACCCTTTCAAGTGGTTTTGAATTTCGTTTTCTTCGGGCTCAGGGTGCGGTTTTTCTGTATTTTTTTTGGGCGAGGTGCGTCGGTTTACGGACTTTAGCCCTTTTTAGTCCTTATTACATTTCTTGTGTTTTCCGTGTCGATTATTACATAAAGGCTTGGTGTGATTAAGTGCACAGGTTGTTAGCTAAACGTTAAATTTCCAGTTGTGGGTTAAGGTATTGTAGTTAGTAAGGCGATTTAGCTAGGACAGTTTCTGTGTGGTTAGGTGCCAGCCGATCTGGATCGGGTGTACCCGACATTTGCCCTTGTTTGTTTCCTCTCTTTCCTGTTCAGAAACCCTAGATTAACCCCCAGCGAGCCAGGAACATAAAGTTGGTACATAAATCCCCCTTTTATTCAGCTGCCCTACTTAATCACGTTAGGCACGTTAAAGCGTTCGACCTCTCATTTTGTAGATATTTTTATTCTCTACAAATCATCTCGTTGGGGCTCGTAGTACCTCCATTAGTTTCAAAGTTAGAAACAAAAATCGCATTTTTTTGCAATAAATTGTTACAAACTTTTGGCGTATTAAAGTTGCTTCCTGATACCACTCAGCTTGAATTTGTTGTAGGGTGCTTCTTCTGTTGGATCTGCGGATCTTTACAAGTACACAACGCTCTCTTTCAGGAAATAATACGGGGTCGTCCTGAACTTTTACCACGAACAGCAACTCTAGCAGTCTCCCCGAACTTTTTTATCACAAATTTTTAACACAAGCAACAATATTTAGAGCATTTGAAATTTTTCTACATTGATTTGCCTTTACTGTATTGAGAAATTAAATTATAATTTCTATTATAATTTCTATTATAATTTCTAAAAAGCTACGATAAATTGTAGCTTTTTATCTGTTGTAAACGTATTCAACTCAAACTGAGAGATTTTAATCTTAGCGCACTTAGTTTATTAGCAGATGCATGCGTAATATTGATTTCGCCGGTCAATAAAATACACGTCCGAATATTTTTTTATATAATAAGTTTTTAACATTTCTACTGTTTTATTTTTAGTTGTTAAGAAATGAAAAATTAATGCGTTAACATATTACTGTATGATAGGGAACTTGTATGAGACCACATTTTTCAACTGTAAAGAAAAAATTATACAGGGTTGTTTTTTGTCTTGAAACGCTTAAATATTTTGGAAACGAGTGATCCTACGAAAAAATGTTTCAAATAAGAAGTTAATAAGTGGAAGGAGGAAGTTTATTCGTGTCAGGAAAACAACGCCTACTTCCACCTTGTAGGTTAGGCAGGGGCCAACTTGAGAATTTCACATGGTGACCCACATCATTTTATTGGAGATTCGAATAGTGGGGCACTATGGGCCCAAATAAGAAAATTTGTGTCAAAAGAAAATAGCTCTTAGAAATGAATTACGGAACACAGAACAAGAACGAAGTATGCGCTTTTTTGTGACACAAATAAACTTTCCCTTCCCAGATATTAACTTCTTATTTGAAACATTTTTTCTTATGATCACTGGTTTCCGAAAAATTTAATCGTTTCAAAATAAAAATAAAACCATTATTTAAACTAAATATTATTATTACTCAATTAGAATTTTGGGCTTCGTCACAACACATTGTTGTTAGGGCTCGTAAGTGATCAATAAGATGAAATGTAAATCTAGGTATTTAAAAATGTTTGAAATAAGAAGTTAATATCTGGGAAGGGGAAGTTTATTTGTGTCACAAAAAAAGCGCCTACTTCCTTCTTGTTCTGTGTTCCGTAATTCATTTCTAAGAGCTATTTTCTTTTGACACAAATTTTCTTATTTGGGCCCATAGTGCCCCACTATTCGAATCTTCAATAAAATGATGTGGTTACTATGTAAAATTCTCAAGTTGGCCCCTGCCTAACCTACAAGGTCGAAGTAGGCGTTGTTTTTCTGACACGAATAAACTTCCCCCTTCCACTTATTAACTTCTTATTTGAAACATTTTTTGAAGGATCACTGGTTTCCGAGAAATTTAATCGTTTCAAAATAAAAATAAAACCATTATTTAAACTAAATATTATTATTACTCAATTAGAATTTTGAGCTTCGTCACAACACACAGTTGTTAGGGCTCGTAAGTGATCAATAAGATGAAATGTAAATCTAGGTATTTAGAGGAATGTGCAATGATTACCTGTACAACATCTCGAACATTGACACTGGAATCCATAGCTCGAAGAACCCGGTCAATATGTCGCACAGCAAGTTTACTCTGCGCTTTAATACCTCCCGGAACGAGCTGCATATTTCCAGGGACCAGAGCGATCTGTCCAGCAAGGTGGATAAAGTCCCCTATCTTAGTCGCCTGACTGTAAGGGCCAATATTACAAGGGGCCCAATGAGAAATGCTCTGTACGTGCATTGTTTGTCTGAAAAGGAGTAGTTAAATATCTTACTAAGGTGAGCGTAACATTTGTCAGTCTTTCAAAGTGACTTACCTCTCTATTTCACTATCTCCATTTTCCACACTTTTCCAGGACAATGCTTCAATCATAACAGGGCAGTTTATGGGAATTTGGACACAGGCCCTTGTAGGTGGATTCACATGGTGGAAATTCTTAATGTAAACCTCGTTTAAATGCACAAACTGTCCCATATCGCTGATATACAGAGTGATGGCGCAAATGTCTTGCAGTGTGTGACTATTAGTCTCCAACGTTACTATTGTTAAAATCTATTTATTTTATTTCAATTAACTAACTAGACTTGGGCCAATACCAGTCCTTTCACCTCTCCTTCTAGAGAGTGGTTTTTTTCTGCTTAAACAGTATTACGATTTTGCTTAATAAACTTCGTTTAATGCGTCTTTTTAACCTTTTAAAACCTGTAGCAAAGCATTTATAGAGCCAGCTTTAATGTCAGGCTGGTGAAATTAATTACCGCATAAGGGGAGAAAATGCGTAAAACAGCAGTATTGCAAAACCGAATTCGCACAAAAACCGTTCGCCTGTCCACTGTCCACTCATCGTCGGTATTGTTAATGGAGGTTAACGCAATGGTGTGTTTTAATAGTTCAGAAGGCGACTAGTTTTCCAGTTTTAGCTTAGTGGCCCACCTGAGAGAGGTGATCAGCCGTATCTCACAAACTATTAGTCTTATCGATTTCAGGTAAAAAAAATAGATAAGTATAGTGACCACAAGAAGAAAATAGCCGCTATAGGGCAAAACTGCAACAAGACATTTTAAAAACGGATATTTAGCCGTTTTAGATACACCAAGGTATGTTGAAAGTACTTTCTTTCTGTTGTTCTAGCTAGTCATAAAAAGTCATTGATTGCTCGGTATTGGCTTAACCAAATTCAATATTTAAACTATAGTTAAAAGGCTCTTTAATTGATTTGTATTGCTTCTTTGGCCCCCAGGGGCGCGTTATCAAAGGTGGTCAAACTTTGTCGCTTTTTTCCCAATTTTCAAATGATATATAATATTTTTGGTGGTTAGAAAGAGGATGAAAAATGAAACAAGCCACAGTGAAAACCGCATACCGACATATTTGTTTTTTGTAACCGGACATATCAACACTAACAATAATATTCTAATAAAACAAAATTAATTGTCCTGATAAGAACCATTGTTATATTTTAAGGATTCCTGCAAGTGAAATGGACATTTGACATTAAAACCTGCCTAGATGCTCAAAATGGTTGCCAACGGTTTGAATGCAACGCTCAAGCCTGTTTCTTACAGTAATGTGATGAATCGTATGGTTAATTTTGCTTATTAAGCACTATTTAAAATAAAATGTTAACATATCAAAACCTTCCTCATTTGTAACAGGCATTTTAGAAAAGAGTCCAAGAAGTCTTCAAGTTTGACTGTCAAACAAATTCATTGAGTATTACGAAAAGGAATAGTCGTAAAAGCGGTATAAGCTGTTTTTGCCATAAATTTATTTATATCCTCGGTTGCAAAAAATATATCGTTATGCGGTTCTCACTATTTTGTTTCATTTTTCATTGTCTTTCGAATCAGTTAAAATCATTATTACATTAATAAGTATTAAATATATCATTCTATTTAGAAATTTGAAGAAAACCCGTAACGTTTGACTACCCTTGATAACGCGCCCTCTGGCCAACCAAAAAGCAACTAAAGCAATTAAAGAGCCTTTTAACTAGAATTAAAATATAGAATTTGGTTAAGCCAATACGTAGCTATCAATAAATTGTCAAACCAATATTTGGCCATCCCCCATTATTTGACTAGCTAGAACGATGACACTCCAACCCAAAGTAAGTAAAATTCCGTTAGGAATAGAATGAACGTATTTTGAACATACCTTAGGCTATCTAGAACCGTAAACCATCTGCTTTTAAAATATTTTGTTGAAATGTTGCCCTTTAGTGTCCATTTTGCAAACTTGAAAGTAATTTCTAGCAATTTCACTTTATTCATAAATGTTTTTACATAAAATCGATACGACCTATAGTTTGTGAGATACACCTTGTACATTTTTCGAAAAAACTACCCTTATTTTCCAAGAACAATTATCTTGATTTTTTTGTATTTTAAAAGTGAGCATTTTAATCGCTGTAATCTCTACTATAAAATGGTATATTTATCGTTAAACCGCTGAGAATTGCAAAAAACTGAAGTCTGAATCACGAAGTTTTCAATATGTTTAATGATTTTCGATTGTCTTCATTATTTCTGTTAATAATGGACTATTTTTACATAACTTAAGTTGCTTTCATGTACGATTATTACAGTTGAAAGAATTTTATTAGAGTAAGTAGCGCAAACCATATTGAAACGGTTAAATAAATAACATAAAATATTTGCTAGACATATTAACGTTGGAATACAACTATGAACAGGAATATATTTGAAATTCGCTCTTATGATCACTTCTAGATCTTCGAAATACAAAAACCAATATCAAGACAATTAATTTTTCGAAAGAAGATAAAGGTAGTTCTTTAGAAAAATGCGCATAACTCAAAAACTAGTCGTCTTCGGAACTACAAAAAATCCTGCTTATTCAACTCCAACAAAGGCATACTTTACAGATCTTAATGTAACTTAAATAATTTATGCGCGAGAAAAAAATTAAATACTGAAAAATTGTCTTTTTTACCATTTTGACCGTTAATTTGAGGTTATGTCAAAAAGAGTAAAAAAGTTTTAGATTTTTATTGTCCGCAAAAAACGTCATAAAGCCCTAAACTGCACCTCTATTTACCATTTTCAGTGTTTTCGTGTTTAAATTTGATTTTTTCTTAAAGTTGGAATCTCAACAACATTTTCCGCCTAGTCCAGGCCTGTTAATATTTTTTCCAAAAAAATTATTTGCACTAGCCTAATAAGGTATTGGCCCAGTTCTACTATTTTCCATTGCAAACTGCCTTACATAACAAATTCTACACTCCAATGCATACCTACACTTTAGTTTACATATAGCGTCTTCCAAAGCACCACCAGGATCATTAGAATAACCTTGAATACCTGCCACCCAGAACCAACCCTCCTTGCTAACGCCACAACTGGACTTTTGCAATACATCAGACTTTAAGTTATCAGTTATCTCTTGCTCTATTAGAAGATCATTGTTGTCTCCATCTAATTGGATAGAAAATAATCAGGTGCTAGTAAAAAAACTCTACTAATTAGTACCTGCATCATCATGGGTTAGCTCGAAAGTAGAATCATCGCTATATTCAGTAACGTAGCCGTAGCTATCTTTCAACGGTAAACCATCCAACCTGCTTTCCAAACTAAGGACAGGTAGCTTGAATTCCAAATTAAGCGAATTGAATCTGAGAAATCCAACTGGAGCTATTGGATCGTTTTGGTGCATGATAATTTCAGAGTCCTCCCTAAACGGAATTTAAAATTGAAGCCTTTACGACGTAAAACCCACCTTTCTTACACAACAAGTCTGCTCTTAAATAGGGGACAATCCAAAGTCACTGTTTCATATTCGCCCCCTTCACCACACACGTTTAGGCCATACTTTTCATGCATTTTCAAAAGGTGAGGCTGTAACAGACTTAAACTGCGCCCCAAATGTTTTTTAGGGTCTAGGCCTAAAGTTGCAACTTTGATCACTATGGCGTCCACTTCACACCTGATCATTTCATCCAGTAGCTCTTTTTGGTTCCGCTGCCAAAGGTAAGCTAGAGGGGTGAGTTTCAGTCTGTTGCAACTGCAAATAAGCAAGATTTATATTGAAAATCATGTTGCCGAAGAATTTAATATGCTCTTCCACACTTACACATTTTCTACTCTAACTCTTTGGTAATCGCTAAGAATGGCACCAACTGAGACGGCATCAAATTCAATTTCTTTCTGTATCTCTTGCAATAACAAATACAAGTCTTCAACCTCATCATTTTCACAGGGATAGTACGTTTTTCCTTTCTTTTTAGAGACTCCAAACGTCTCTCTCTTAAATATGGGCAAGTCTACGGCTTGAGCTATTAAATCTATGGCTTCATGACCTGCAACAAATCATATTGAATCGATAGCTATTTGCCAGTTATTTCCAGAAATTCACATGACTTACCTACACTTTGATACATATAGCTATCTATTTCAGTTTTATTGTGAGGAACTAGATTGGCTAAAGCGACTATGTTATGGCCTGCGGCGATGCATTGCATCATGTTAAATGTGCTGTCTTTGCCGCCACTAACCATTGCAACTACCCTCATCTTGATTTAAATGTTCTAAGAACTGGTAACTAAATGTAAATCTAGATTAAGCTGAAAGAAAATGAAGATGTAGTCGTAGGACAAGTGATCATACGATTGGCAATAAATTAGTTTTGTTATTAACAATTGGTGCATGCATATTAAAGGATTTATCCACACATGCTCGGTAATATGCAGCGTTTAATTCAAGCGGAGGATTGTGAATGAATGTATGAGTGAGCAAAATTTGTCGTTTTATGAGGATTGGGTTATTTGATCAGAAAATGTAACAGATATTAAGATATTTTATTATTTCCCGAACTTAAAAAAAATTATGTATTATACAGGGTGATTGTAAAAGGCCATGCATCAATGATCTGTGACGTACTTCAACCACTGACTCACAGGTGGCAGCAATAACTCCGGTTTTCAAGAATTAGCCAACATCTCACCGCACAATAGAGACGCCTTCTCGCACTTACGCCTTACTGAGGAGTCCAATAGGTAGACGCGGGACGAATCGCATAACGGTACAACATCGCACCTTAGATCAATATCAATCAATAAAAAACAATTGAGTTGAGAAAAAAGAAAATAAAAGTGGTGTTCGAAGTTCAGCCCGTTTAACACATGATTCCGGTCGTCCGCAAGGAAGACAGGAAAACAACCCCAAAAAAGACCACACCTCGCAGTAGGCAGAAACAAATAGCGGCAATGGGCAGGGAGTCCTTAGAAGCAGTCTCAGAGTCCTCTGACAGTTTTACAGTAGCGTCTTGGAACGTCAATGGGCTAAGGACTCGCCGTCCAGAGCTGGTTCGAGTTCCTGAACAACAGCAATCCTGAAGTGGTAGCACTCCACTGACGAACTACATCAGTAGTTCATCAATTGGAAGCTTGACATAAATGCAGAGAAGAGCCAGGCCATACTTATTGGCAGGAAGCAAGACAGTGTCGATGGCAACATCACCATAGAGTGACAAAACATCGAATGGGAAGGATATACTAAATATTTGGGTGTTGTTTTAGATAGATAAGTAGCTGACCTGGAAGAAGCACATGAAAACCGCCATCGACAAGGTTAAGGCAACTGCCAAGTTGCATCCACTCCTCAATCGAAGAAGCCACATGAGTATTAGGAACAAGCTACTCCTCATCAAGACCATAATCAGGACGACACTGGCGTATGCCCCCACTGCGTGGGGATATGCAGCTGAGTGTCACTTGAATAGACTTCAGGCCACAAAAAAACGAGTTCTGCTGATGGCCATAGATGCGCCCTGGTTTGTTGGAAACTCCCAAATCTACAGGGACCTGGAGTGGCAGCCACTAAGAGAGTTTCTCGCAAGGAAAGCGAAAGCAGACTTTTAGAAAGCTGGAAGCCACTCCAACGAAGATCTGCGTAACCTTGTCAGTTACACTCCTGAAGATCTGGGACCCAGGAAAAAAAGGCTCAGACACCAACTAGTCCACTAGGGTAACAGGTAGCAAACGGCGTAAGCTGTAAGTGTGGTTATAATGTCGTGTTTGTAGTAAGGTGCATGTATAAGTAAGGCGTTAAATTGGGAGAGGCGAAACCCTGGACTGGGGCGGAGCTGGTGCTTGTGGAGGCAAACAGGCTTGCCAAGCCAAAGAGGGCAATAGTGTTCATCCCCGAAATTACACCTCCGGAGAGGACACTACCCAGGATCGGTGTCCAGAATAATCTGAACACCAGTACCTGGAAGCTTGTGGGGTTGGGAAACGAGCAAGCCAGCGGTAGGCTGCTAACGATCCTCATGGACCAGAACTCGTGGGAAAAGTTGGGTGAGATCCAATACAGACCCCACTACAACTTCTCGAGGGTTACGTTCAGGGCGCTCTCCTCTGGCAAGGAACCTGAACAAGCCCAAGAGGCCACAAAACAAGGGGCAACAAAAACGGAGGGGAGGAAGGTACCCGCCAGTACCGGGGGAAACCGACAACATGTTGGAACCTCGGGGGGGCAGGTCACCATTCCAACCCCCGCGGTTACTGTTAAGGGCCAGAAAAGTGGCTTCTCCGGGGGGCTGGTTGGCACTACGGCCACCACCGCGGAGGCGCAGGGGCAGCAACCCAGAGCACCCATTCCCGCTGTGGAACAGGGGGCACTGGTCGCAGGTACGTCGCCACTTCTGAGGAAAACCTGACTGGCTGGACGACCCGCCCGCGTGCGGGTAGTTCAAATAAATCTGCACCACTGCCGGGCGGCTTCGGCCGCCCTCAGTGAGTGTATGCTAAAGACATCATCAGATGTCGTTCTAATTCAAGAACCGTATGTATATAAGGGG